CCTCCGCCCCCCCAAATGTTTCCTGAGCACGCTTTACTTTCTGAAGAGGTGTCGGTGCTCAGGTGTGTCTGGAAACCGTCCCTTCCCACTTCCTTGCACGGGGGCTCTGGGCTTACTGGTGAGGTAGCCAGACTTTGCGCTTCTCTCTTTAACGAGTGCCAAGAGTGAAGCTGTTTCTCAAATCCAAATGCTACGAGACTGAAACTTCCTCTTGTGAACCCCTTGTGAAGCGACTGGGATTTAACTCACAGTGTATACAGAGGAGTTTGGAAATCGTACCTTGCTTCTGTATGTGCTCTACGTGAGGCTTCTGTTGTTGCGGGAACACATACAACATACTTGCTGAGGCGTTGCTTTTCTAAGCTTATTCTTATTTAATCATTGTTGGTGTCCTGACTGTAGTTTTGATGTGTTCAAATTATGGTGAATAGATTTTTGTTTGTATTTAAAGGTACTTTATTCTGTTAAAGTTTTGGAGCCTACGGGATGTAACAATATGATAGGAAGTGGTCATTTTAATGAATGTGTCTTTCGTTAAATTTGAATTAAGTCAAGATTTTCTTCTAGTAATTGACATGAATCAGATACTTTAGATTGCCTGTTTTTTTAAAAAAAATGAAGCTTTTTTAATGGTTTTTAAAGAATTGTTAGTTTTACTCTTATGATTTTATTTAACATATTTTCAATATTTTTGTAAATTGCTCTGGGTTTCTCCATGGGAAAGAGTCTTGAGATTCTTCTCCCCTTCCCCAGTAGTAGTTATTTTGGAAAGCTGTTTTCCAAGGTGTTTTCTTGACTTCCAAACGTGAGCACCTGATTGTAAGAGAAAGAAAGTAAGTGGTGATCTTATGAAAATTTTGCACCTGTAAGCAAAACAAAAGGGGAAATGTATCTCAGAGCACTACATCACTCATTTTCTTGGTTGGTCACCTGCTGAATGAAAACTACTCACCTCTATCTTTTCTTTTTTAAAATTCTCTTGGGTATCGTATTTAGCTTTTGTGGACATTGTGTATTCCCCAAATTTCCATTCTTGGAAGACACAATATTTTTCTCTCAGTTTTATTCCAAAGTTTCCCACAGTCTGTCAGTATCAGCGTATACATTAGTATATTTCAGTGCCCAATTTGGGAATTAGAGAATAGCTGACCAAACTGCCAGAGTGACAAAGAGACTTTTAAAAGTAGGATTTTTTTTTTACCTACCTTTTTTTTCCCTTGAAAATTAATGTAAAATGATTGCTGCTTGTGATTTTGCTGTGTTAAAGCTTCATTGCAGTGGTGTTTAGAACAGAAATTTGCACAGGATAGATGCTGCTTGTGCTCTTGGCAAAGGCTAGAAAGTTGATCAGCCTTTTTGTTTCATAGTAGTATCTAATCTCTGCTAAATTTGCTATATTTCCTCAAACCACTAGACTTTGTACTTTAGTGGTCATGATAGTAATTTGATTTTATCTTCCTTTTTAACAGGAGTCATATTATTGTACTTTCCTTGTATGGTTTTAATTTACTTGCTGCCTTTGAAAGAGAAAATGAAAATTCATGGGTGCATATGCAGCTTGTTTGCAAAAAAGTCCCAGCTTCAAAATCACAGAGCAGGATCTGCCCAAGACTGGAAAACTATTACCAGTTGGAATGGACAATATTGGTTAAAATGAACAAGTAGATTTTGGCAGTAGGACTACAGACCAACTGGAGTCATAATCTGAATTTACCAAAAAGTGACTGTTGGTGTCAGGGGCACTTGCCTTTGACAAAACATGAATAGAATGTAGCTAACAATGACTCTGATCTTAGGATAGGTTGATTCAAAGAAAGATCGTGAAACAATAGCTTTCTGTTTCTTTTATTGTCATTTAGTGGTGTTCCTTCCTCAATTATTTTCTCATCCATAACCTCCTGCATTGTTTAGAAGGGCTTCCAGCTTTCCAGATAGGTCATTTTGAAGGTGCACAGTCCTTATTATTTGCAGGCCTAGTGGAAGAAACCTTCACTACTTCTTAAATGATGTGTATTCTAAGGGAAAAAAGGACTAGATTATGGCATCCAGATATCATTGCTTTGCACAGCTGCTTTCTAGAATTGATATCATAGTTCATTTATTTCAAGTATTAGTAGATATTCTGTGTCTGATTATTCCAGAAATTTCACAGGTGACTTACACTCTTCCCATTAATTATAATACAAAATATTAAACCAAGGGATTCTTTAAGACCCAAAGCAAAGGCAGTCAAAGCAATAATTAAGACTTAAAATTTTTGATCAGTCAGTGCATATGATAAAGTCATAGGCTAATACTTGAAGCTCATTTATTTAATGCTAGGTGGGCACCTTTTGAGGAGAGCATTTCAGAACTGAGGCACAATTGCAGAAAGACTCTTCTCCCTGATGTTATTCACTGTTCATCAGAGAGCCTAGGGGATGCTCTCTTTGATGAACACAGATTAAAGGACTTGTTTGCTAGTACATGTAGGTCTCAATTAGTGCAGTTAATGAATCCCACAAAATGGTCACATTACTGAAATTCACACTATTCAAAATGATATTTCTAGGGAGAATGTGGTAATTGGTTCTAGCTCAATGGAGAAATGACAATCTTTTATCCATTTTGCACACACAAAGATTAGCAGCATCTAAAACTCCAGGTGCAACTGTACATGTGCTAGCCTCGCATTGACTGAATTTTGGGTTACTTTAAAAGCGACCTGGTATCAATTTACAATTCACACTAAATTGAATATCACATTATTCAAATGCGCACTAATTGCGACCTACCTGTATCTTAAAAAGGTTTCAAGTTGAGATAAAACCAGTAAATTGATACAAATATAACTCTACCCCCCAAGTGCAGCTGTTTAACACTTTATGGAGTAAATGCTAAATATTGCTTTATTTGATCCAAATTCTGAAGACTGATTGTTCAAAGTATTTTTCTTTCAGGTGCGCAGTCCAAGGAAAGCCACCTTGGCTAAAGTTGTGCCAACTCCAAATAATGGCTCTGCAGAACTGGTACCACTCCACCGAGATCAGGTGAGAAATTAAATTATGGTATTCAGTTGAGGGTGGTTCCTCTTTCTCGTCAACTTCTTATATCTCACTTAAATTTGTCAGCTGATTTTGACTTGGTACTGCGGTACCTTGTGTAAACAAATAAGGTGTCACAGAAATGTGGACCTAATCTCTTAAACAAGACAGGAATGTGCAATTAATGGCTTGGATCTTGAGTTTTCTTCTGCAAAGAAAAGAGCTTGTTTCAATCATAAAAGGGTTTCTAGTTTAAAGGAAGGAGTACCTTACTCACATTCCTCCCTATCTGCAGCAACCATATTGCTGGAACAATGTTCTAGTGGTACCCCAAGTTATAAATGGGAAGGATGTGAAATTTGTCTCTCCACTTTCCAGTGACATCCTCTTGCCAATAGAATGTTAGATAACATACAAACATTTACTTTTAGGAAAATTAAGTTAAATTCATTGGTGGCTAGCAGCTTTATTTAGTTAACATTCTTTTTAAAGCTGCAAATCACAGCTGGTTTGTATGCTGGGTTGTATCCCTTGTTGTAATGTTTATGTTTGCCTTGGTCTATTGCAACAGGGAGACTGGTGGGCCAGCTTCCTCATGCTGTGTCACGCATAATGGTAGAAATCTCCAAACTGGCCTCATGCACACAGAAAGTTAATTTGTGTATCCCTTCTAGGGAGAAGATGGACAGGAGGTACTTTCTTTTGAATTCCAAAAAATCAAATACTTTTGTGAACTAAGTGAAAGCAAAAAATTCCTTCCTGTGGCATTCCCTGTGGAGCACCCACTGCAGTATTATCAGAATGCTCGTGGTTACCAGGAAGATAAAGAAATCAAAGCAGCAGAAAAAAAATATGGCACTAACAAGTAAGTAGAGCAAAAGTGGACCACACTACTTGTCTGCAATATTTATCATAAATTTCTCAAGACAGAAATATTTAAGCTCTTGACTACTGAGTATTCAGGTTAATTAACCTATAGATATTGACAGGCTGTTAGTAATATAGTACCAGATTTACAGTCTTGGGGGATGAAACAACTTTTGGGTGGGCATGGCACGTAGCAT